AACTGGTTTAATAACTACATGAGAAAAAAATATCAGTTTTTTCCATAAGAGTCAGTTCGCTTTTTCATAGCGGAAACACCGTTGGTGATGGAAACAGGAAAACTGTAAAAGTAGTAATGCCTTTGCTTCACTTGCGGACTAAAAATGCAGGACCTATAAGGCAATAATTGGGCAAGTCTTCTGCGTCACTTATGTGAAAAATCCTGAGACGAATTCCGGCAGGTCCACTCCAAATTTCTTCCACCGAACATAAATGAAAACTTCAAGAAGCGAACGATTTCGCGCTTGGCTAAAGTCGAACTAGGTCAAAAACGATCACGAGCACGATGACACGTGCTTTTGGTCCCATAGCAGCAAGTTTTTCTGCATAGGTATGGTGGGACTCACTATGGTGAGAAGTTCTATGCGCAATAGTGATTTTTTTCTCAGGCGTTCCGTAGGTCCCTTTAACTTACCGAACATAACCACGCTAATTACAGCCTGCCTGGCGCATTTGTTTCCCAACATGTCTTGTAACCAGGCTACACCATGAAGTAAAACAATGTGCAAGTAAAAACGATCATCTCTGGCAAGAGCGAAAATGTTCAAAAAGTACAGAGTAGCTTCGATTTTCTAGTTGTTATACAGACACCTTTTCTCCTGTTTAAGTACAAAACTTAATCCAATGAATGCAGGAATTACACAGACACTTGCATTCGTGCACAGCTATTGACTAAACATAAAACAGATCACCAGGGTCACTGAATAAGCATCGGTACCACAGCTCTGCACAATGCTGCAAGTTTATCTCATCCTTCATGGTGTGTTGCTTTGCATTCATTTGGATTAATATTTTTAATTATTATTTTAATTGATGTTTTAACGACTATCAATTTCCGTTTCTTCACTTACTTTGAGACGTCTGATTTGCAGTGGTAGTCACAGTTTGGCACTCACAAATATCTATCGTAACAATTATGTTAGTAAAACCGTGGGAACTCGTTTGTCACTAGGTATAATAATCGAATCATATTGGTTTGGTTACAACAAGAAACTCATCAACTGGCCCTGTAGACATTCAACACAAAGGAAACATTTTCGGTAATTTACCGACTGTTTCTTTGAAGTTTTCGGATTCTCGGAATATGTTGTTTGGTTTGTCAACGGAAGGCCTTCATGTCCGAACACACAAAACTCTTGTAGAGATGAAAACCGGAAAACGGCGTGGTTGTCCTTTCGGCTGTATGGCAAATCCAACAGACCGAAAGAACCAATTGCCTTCAGTCTAGTGATTGTTCTGACTGAGCGAAATTGTTGCGTTTACTTTGACCCAGTTACTACTTTCTTATTGTAGATGATCACCAAGACGAATCGGAGAAATACGACAGGAGGAATGAAATAGAAATTATCATGAAAGTCGTATTCACATCTAGCCCACGTTAAAGTGATAAAATCCCTTTGATGCTCGTGACCAGAGGGTAGAGAAAAATCTGGCGAAATTTCTTCACTGAAATTCCGCTGATAGTAAAGTTACTATTGCGTTCGTTAGGCTGTTTTGCACGAAAAGTATATTTACGGCTTTTCATAACAAACAGGAAGCACCCAAAGCGGCGTCCATACTTCGGAGGACCGATAACAGGTAATGCACAACAAGGTGCCTACCTCCCTCCGAGTAAACTGATGACTGTCAGGATGCTTCCAGATATGGAAAAAGCACATGTGCTGAGAACGGTGCGTCCACGAGGTCTGTCACTGCACGTTCCGGATGGCAGTATACGACCAGCAGAGTGGGTGTGAAATCGTTCACGGCAGGACGTCCCCAATGGTTGGTCGGAACAAGCAAGCGAAAATCCATAAATGGCCATTTAGCCATTCTACATATTTACAGAGAAGTTCTGTATGTCTGATCTGACCTGACAATGCTGCAGGATCTCGGCTTCTTTGTCTTCTGCTTATCGCTTGGTCTAGCAGTCTCAGTTTCAGGTGTAATCAATAGACGGTCACCCATGATACAACAGTGACCGAACAAGAAAACATGGCATTTGTTTGGTCACCATTATACGAAATCTGAACCGATATCTTGCACCATAGTACACTCATCTATATACTCTGCTCTGTGAACGCCTTACCGCAGACTAGAAAAAGCATTCACTGTTCAGCGTAAATTGACACACCAGTCAGCAGCCACTGATACCGATTGAACTTCAATGAATTTTGAGCGCACCGATCGATTAGTCTTATTCCGATCACGCAACCCAACGAACAGGGGCCACCTACCGAACAAAATGTAATCACTGAAAACATCAACTGTGTTAAACACTGTACCGTCACGTTAACACGATATTTGTCTCGGACAGCATACCAGTCCACAATACAGTGGATCTATCGAGTTCCAATATTATTCTTTGACTGTTTTGACAAAAAAGCCCCAAAAAATAAATAGGGAGGACGCAACTCTGTTAAGCTTCGTTCGTAGGCAAGCACAGGAAATTTATTCCAAAAAGACGATACGCTTGGACTCTAGAATTAGTATTTGCAGATTTTTACAAAGGCTCCGGTTCTGTCAACCCACATTGAGTATGAGCCAGTACCGTCTTACTCGAACATTAAATGCGCTGAATTTGGTCAGTAAGTGAGTTTTGTGTTGTATGCACAGTGCGCTGATTGTGTAACTTTACCGCTATTTCGTTCTGAATTTCTTGGTTTAAACTCAAATGGTCACATTTTACCGGCACCTTAAACGGTCTTATGAGCACAACAACTGAAGATGTATTCGCATGATTTCTTGCAGACCACACTTGTTTACTTATCTCTCAAGAATTACTGGTAAATACGGCAATCGGCTCGACACGTCTATTAGGCCTTTGCTATGCACTGCTTGCTACAAGGTACCACGTGGCTCCAAGAAGTTATCTAAACTCACTTGCATGTTACATCTGCCTGATGGGAAGACTGTAAGGGTATCTGGTATACCACGCAACGCTGATATTGTTCTGTGTAATATAGATCAAAGGAATGGCTCGAGATCCCTGCATGATATAAGTTTGAATTTCACCCTCTCACAGACATACTGACGACACGTGTATCGGCGTGAACCATTTCAGATCGGCCAAGCATATTCTTCCACACAGCGTAAATAACCGAAGAATTAGGGTTCCCGACCTAATCAGGAAGAGTTAGAACATAAGGTCAGTTCCACAACGTCATTTAAACTAACTTGTCACACTTCCGACACCGTCAGGATAAACTACCGGCGGATTGGTTGACATAATTAACGGCAATTTTGATACCTTTATTTGTATTACCACAGTATTCCAATATTCCCAGCTGTGTGGTTGCGCCAACACAGAAGACCACGTAACATATGCATTCTGAATCGGAAATCTGATTTCACTATATCCCTAATCCTTCTCAACTCACTCACATCACACGATGTTGGTTTCGAACTAACTATGGATCGACAACCGTTCTTTGTTGTGCTTCATTGGACTCTCAGGAACCACAAAACACGGAATAACGGAGTCAAATGATGTGCTAATTGAAACTTTTCTATAGACTATCAGCACGCCATCTGAAGACATGTTATTTCCAACGCCCCATTGTGCTTTCTATACTTCTTTTACCAGGGACAGCCAAGATAACAAAGTTGAATAAAATCATGTAAATGTCTTTGTTGACGATCTAGTTAGGGACATGGGTACACCTCATTCTTCACTAACAGAGTTGATTCTCGTTTTGCTCCGTCCAGGAGGAAGCAGACTTCTTGAGGTAATTTCCCACTAACGATGTTGCCCGCCTTTATTAAACATGGAAAAAACTAAGTCCTTCTGGAATGGAGTTTTTCGTTGCTTTTGTTCACGCTTCGCTTTACTTTCACTGTGTAAGGTTCAAACCTGATCTCTGTTAGTTCACAGAGGAAAAAGAAAACGCGTTAACGAATGAGGATACAGCTGCAACTGCATTCATGCAAATGATTAGAAAGCGTCTTACCACTAAATAGAATAAAACAGCTGACCTACAAATCACGATTCCCTTCCTCATCTTTTAGTAAGTCGTAGCCAGTCAAATAGAGATTTGTGGAATCAAGATTGTTTAGTGTAGAGTCAGATGATTGCTCCGGTGAAAGGTTTGAACAAGATCCATCATTTTTCTCCTTCTGAGTGAGGTCACGCGTCGGAAGGGCCGGTGGAGTTTCCTTGTAATTCTGATCATGATCGAACGGATCGCAAATAAACTTTTCCAGTTCATCCATTGTAACGTATTCGTCTGCTTTGGGACTGTCACAAGGGGAATTGGCTGTCGTTCGTTTCACCTCACACGGGCAAACTCTATCTTGGGGTCCTCCTGACGGTACCCAAAACCTCGGTCGACTAACTTCGTTCATCTGGGATAAGGGTTTTATAAGCTGTTCCTCGGCAGACATAATGGACGATAGTATGATTCTTTTATTGTTGGATCGGCGACGGTGTCTGCAAAGAAATAAAACGTGGGGACCGATTATCTGTTTAGGCAATTCTCGGTTTCAAAGCTTTTTTCTCCATAGTGTAAAATACTGTTCGGTCCTGAACGAGGAACACGGATATTGGCAATCTGGGTAAACCTGACCAGTTGTTTTCGACGTATAACGTATAGGTTTAAAGCATTCATGATCAGCTAGCTACGGAGCATGAACATTCAGTCGTATCAAAGATAAAGGGACAAATTATACACAAGAAACAATTCTGAAGACATCTGATACTCGTTGTACAAGTTTGGAAGACTACAGCTTCGAGGATGAATCATCATTGAGACATTGAAAAATTCAAAAACTCGTAAGGAAATTTGTCATAATAAAGACAGGGCGTTTATTGTTGATACCACTGAACGTTATTCATGGGTTAGGATAAACCTTCCTGAAATTCACCGATATACCAACTTCATGAACTCTCATGAAAGTGGACCAGATGGCTGCGTTGAATCATCAGAATACCTCAGCTCACTGTCCTTTGGAGGTGCAGTGAAGGCAACAATCATACCTTCGGCCACAGTTAGCAACAGCTACTTTTCTAAGAATCGATTTGCTAGATATTTGAAGTACATTGTTTCGAGCTCAAAACTAAGTGACTGATCGGGGAAGCTCACAGTAATCTTGATTTCTAACTTCGTTCGGACCACTCATTAGGTACGATTTCTTAGTTCTTAAGAACCCTAGCATAGGAACATATTTGTTTTAATGTGATAGTTTCTTTGTGATAGGCCTTTAACAAGTGGTTCCAGTAAACATCAGAGGGGAATAAAAATTCGAATTGTACTACAAATATGTGAGTCAATGGCTAGCCTGCAGGTCATTTTTTAGATTTAGACTAACACTTACCTTGTTCTGCAGTACAAAATCAGGCAGCACGTCAATACTAATGCGATGAGGACGACTAGACCACAGAGGGCAGCAAACGCTCCGAGAATCCAATTAGCCTGGTGTGGGGGCTGCAAGAGCAATGTATGCACACATATGTATATACTGAATACAACACTACTGAAAATACAAGTTTTAGCCCCAGAAGTATCTGAGAAATAAACTGATCTCAATGTCAGCATAAGATTTCAAGCCTGTCCTGAAACCGTTCCATTGGCAAAAGGCCTGTAGTCGGGTACAAAGTTCTAGTATCCCTTTACGGGTGTGAAGGGAGTTCAGTTTAATTTCTAAGAAGCCTGTTTTTAAACTGTAACGATGAGGAGTGACACTTATGTAGCCAAAGGGTGTTGATAAGACGACACCTTAGCTCATTTTTGGACGGAACAATGATTTGTTATTCTACGGTTACAACGGTTTGATAATGCTGGTGTCCCACAGATTGATCAATTGGAACATTTATGTTGATTTTATTCTCGGAATGTCTTTCAGCATCTACATCTAGATATGATTCTGGCACACAGTTTATCACATCTTTCTGCAAAAGGGGCATGTCTATTTGAGAAGTAACTGGCCGGTTCGTGGCGGTAACTTTCAGTTCGCATGATATTCAGAATTTTTTAGCGGAAGCTACCCTTAAGAGATCGCGCCACGGAGGCCATACAGTTCCTATTCTTTGACTGGTTTGATCCTCGTTTGCTCCTCCTTACCAAAGTACAATTTTTCTTTCAAGCATCTCTGTTATAGAGTGTTCAATAGCAAGCCCTTTCTACTTGACGAACAAGTGCCTTCTTGGGTTGTCAAGTTGTAGGATTAACTTTTCAACTTTGCCTTGAATATGGTATTCTGGTTTCTAATTCACATGCTTGCACTCCAATGATCCATAGGTCTTAAGTGTCTCCAGTTTACTTCTGGAAGGTACCAAACGTAATTTTACTAAATTTGCTAAAAGGCAATTATTATACCACACCCAGTGTAGTTGCATATATTGCCGAGATGTAGGGCGATTTCCTCTACTGATGAAAGCAAAGAAACGAGTCACAAGTTGCCAGTCATTGGATAGCCTCCAATGGTACCAACTGCAACGAATAAATAGAAACCATAGTTTCTAAACCATCTTCCCTTGCCGTGTCTGTAGCATAAAAACACCAATCAGAGCACCAATAGATATCTTCACTGTGGTAGCGTTAACAATAAAGTATTTTGGCGAACAGCCTCATTGAAATTAAGATGTCTCCCTAACAAGTCCAAAGCTCGATCCCTGAAATCTTGTTGGCTGATGAACCGGGGTTGTTTGTGTTCCAAATCCAGTGCGAACCCAATGAAGCGTTCTGGATTATTGTTCGCTAGCGGTTTTTTTTTACTTATTCCTTATCTCGTTCTAGTTGATCCATGTTTCATAGAGTTCCCGCTCTGTAGACTAAAACCTTCACCATTGGTGGCTTATGAGCCACTGCGGTGTAACTCGAATATAGCAAAGAGTGACCGATCAATATATTCCTGCCAATAGATGGAAAATTTCAAAGAATTTTCACTAGTTTTACAAATAAGTGTATCCATTCGATTCATACTCAGAAATGATATAGACATTACAGTTAGTGTGGAATCAGAATGTCTTAGAGAGACTGAGAAAGATCCATGTCAGTTATAACGAAAATGCGATCAACAAATAGTTTGTTTCCTGCTTACATCCGCAGTGGAATCCCCGGAAGAAAACACTCCGAAGTAATTAATCCCGATGTTGTCAGGAATTTTGCTAAGCCAGAGGTCAAGTTTAATCCTGTATCATCAAAATGAAGACGTCTGTTAAATACTGGCCATGAGATTGGCTTGGTCAAATCAGTAAGAATCTGCGACCACAAAACAAACCCTTGGCTATAGCAACAAACGCTCCTGATCAGTTCAAGCTGGTTCTGATCACCCTTGAACTGGTTTGATGTTTCGGGGAAAGCAATTGAGAAATATTTGTTCCATACCGTTCCTGTTCGCTGTTTATGTAGTTACGTTTTGCATCAGCGACGGGAGTAAAGAAAATATCAACATATCGCAGCGTAAGTTAGCCATCAGCTCAATCAAGATGTATAGACGAAAGGTAATGCTTCAAATTCCTGGTGTACCTATCCGACATCAGAGCGTTTTACGGGGCTCCGTAAAGCGCTGGTGGTTTACCCGAATATCCAGTAGCTGCCTCAAAATCGTAGAACTGGATGGCCGAAAACTACTGTTCTGTTATTGGTATAATCTTGACAACTATTCGTGTCCGCTACACCAATTTAGAAGAGATGGTAGAGAGATGATTGAAGGATGCTGGACGTTGCCTGTAGATGGAGACTAAATGCACATGCAATTATTCGGTCAGTCTGACCAAGTGGCAAGAAACTTTGCTTGAGAGCTTGTACTTTCAAGTAGGAATGAGTCCGCTCTTGTCTGTAAAACTGAATGACTGAAATTGATATCAACCTGCTGGACTATTTGGTCGAAAGTTTCATTTGGGGACACCAAGAACGTTCTGACAACACGCCCCAATTAAAGGAACCACTTAGACTAGGACGGCTTAGTTCAGGCAACACATCATGTTTTCGTGTGAGTTTGTATTGTAAACCGACACTTTGAGGATCATATATAAAATTATTTTTCATGCAACGTAACAGATTGCTGTAACCCCACTTATAGAGTTAAAATGGCAACTCTTTATGAGACCTTCAAAACTACCGAG